TATGGACCAATAAACATGCAATTTATTAATTAATTAAAAAGTCTCAATATCTTAAGTAATAAAAGTAAAATAAATATTAAAATTCGGTACATCATTAGAAGAAAAATCAAACCATTTAATCTTATATGCTTTTCCAATTCTCCTTCACCCAAATTTTTAATTACACAAGTAGAATTAACCCGTCCAAAAGATAGAAATTTATCTTTAAAAAAAAATTCATAGCACATATGTCTGATAAACATTTGGATGAATATTGTCATGTGATTTAAAGAAAATGAAAATATTTCAATTGAAAATTTGTCAAACTTGACATAGCAAATTTCGTCAACTTTCGCTAGTGAAGAGATTTATTCATTAACCCACTTTTTCTATTTGGGTTAGTGGAAAATCACTTAAACGCATGTACACCAAATGCACATGATATGGTAAAGCAAAACCAAACTCACACCAAATTTTATACTATGTTGCACACAAAAAACATGACAAGAGAAAAATGTTAAGGTTACTATCTTTAAAATCCAGTAGAATCCTTTGAACATTTGTGAGAAACATGTAAGTTAGGGAACGATAATACCATGAACTTCACCACTACAATGCTCATTGACTTGATTGACATATTGCAACCGACAAAAATGATTTGAATACAGAGTGATATTCTCCATAAGATCATTGTGCAAACTTGAATTGCAAGTTCCATTTTTAGAATTAGAATAATAACTTGAACAATGTCAAATTTGATTCTCCATAATAAAAAAATATGAAAATATCCTTAAGATTTTTGAAAAAATTGGATGAATACGAAGAATAAACGATTTAGCTTGAGGCATGTCAAGGACACTGTCTTTAAGGATATTTCGCCCAAACCGCGATAACTATTATTTGGCGCATCCCCAGGATTCAACAAGCTCTTCTAGTATAAACTAGAAGCAAAAACAACAAAGATTAACAAAGATATAACCCAGCACAATAGAAGAAAATTAAAAGAATTTTTTTTCACTTTTTTCACTCTTTCCAAATGAACAACAAAAAACATATTTATATATAGTCCAAAAGGGAGATGGACATCTAATAGGTAATAAATCATTAAAATCCATTAAGGCTTCAAATGCCAAAGCGTTAAATCATTTAAGGCCAATTGACACGTTTGTTACAAAAGTTAAGGAAATGGTTATCAAATTTAATGTTATGTAAACGGTCATACAAGACCAACTTTGATCAAACTTAGAGTTATAAAGAATAACTGATTATGATACCCATTCAATATTAATAAAACATTATATTCAGAGTTATTATAGTTTTTAGTTATAGACATTATAATATATTTAATTTATTGGTATAATAAACACTCATTAAAATAATATTAAATGAATGAATCTAGACGATAAATTGACTTTTTTTTTGAGTTATCAAAATCATTTTTCTAACTGCTCATGCCGTATCTCCATTTGTTATTGCCTTCGGTTGTACTGGTTCATGTCAGCAGACATCTTGTGAAGAATACGCATCACCTCTATCGTTTCAGAAGCCATGGATTTACAGTATCAAAAGCGCCGCTCTGATATTGGTCGAAATTAAAGAGAAGAATATAAACTACTGTTAAGGAAATCTAGGGCAAAAAGTAAATGAATTATCATTCATAATCTGGAATACACTATAGAAGGCATATGTATACTCCACTCAGCTCACGAATGGACTGTAGACAATAAATTTGCGTCGAGAAAATAAAATCAAGACCGAAAAATATCACAACAATCGTAGTATTTTATTTCGAATATTTGAGTGTTACAATCTCTATGATTCCTCTGATTCTACTTTTCAATATTAAATAAATTCAAGGGCCTTTGAGCTTGATCTTGAATCTATATTTGTTGTCACGAACGATGATCTTGTTCTTGAGCTTGAGCTTGATTGCTTGAACTTGAACCTGATTTGGTATTTGTTTTTGAACTTGAACTTGATTTCTTGAAATTGAACTTGAAGCTTGAAACTTGTGGAGGAATTTGCAGCGTTTGATCCACGAGCTCTTTCTTGCTTCTTGTTATAACTTCTCGTGTCTTTTCTGAGTTATGAAGACCCCTATTTATAGTTGTGGAAGGGAGGAGTCATGATAAGAACAAGCTCTTTCCGACCAATCAAATTGAAGTGTGACATGGGCGCATTTGATTGGCCAGAACATGTCACTTGCACACGCGGCGCGATTTCATTGGCCTTTTAGTGTGACTTGGCATGCATTGTCATTTTGATACGTGGCATGATCCTATTGACTCTTCCGCTTGACTTGGCGCGCCACATCATTTGACACGTGGCACCAAACTGGGCCTCTAGGAAGATTACATCTTGGGCCTGATGAAGTGGGCTCATTACTTTAGCCCAATTAAATGGGCTAGCCCAATGGATTAAGACTTATTTATTTAATCCATATATATTGGACTTATATAATTAATTCAATTATTAGCCCGTAGTATTTATTTGGACCAATATATCCTGAATTTAAAATAAGTCCAAATTAATTTATGAATTTAATTCGTACAAATTTTATATGCCTACATGGACAAAATAGGATAACTAACTTGGGGAAATTGTGTAAATAGCCAAACGTATATATCAACTCTCAAGGGACCTAACTGAACATCCTTAAAACTAAAACTTATTTATTAATAATAACTAACTTAACTAACAATACTTCATCTAATGCTCTTCGAACAATCTCTTTAGCTCCAATTCATATCACTGACTAGGTTTTTGATACGTATGAAATATTAATCACGTCAAACAGTCCAAACCAACTAGAATGTTTTCTTGTTTAGAGAACTAAGAAAATGGAACTAAATAGTTATAATATTTTGCATAAAAAATCGAATAAAATGATTTCTTACTTTTTGAAAGACGTATTATTAAATCTACCCAATCATAGTCCTCTTTCTTTGTTCTGTCATACGCCACTTCGCAGGAATAGGTTCGCATTGAAGAGGTTCCTCAAAAACAGTGTTACCGGCACGTTAGAAAACATGGTGTTGCAGTCTGAATATAAGAAGGATGAAGCACAAGACATGTGAAACGGATTGAAAGAGAATGGTGCAAATGAACAACACCTCAAATGCAGCACCAAAGTCTGTTTCAGAACTTTGATACATCTTGTGAACAAACTATGTTAAAAAACCATCATGTTCTAAGCCAGTAACACGGTTAGACAATAATGACATGACACGGAGAGATAGGAGGAGCAATAAAGGAGGGGAAACTACCTCAATTAGCTTTGCAGCCTGTCCACAAGCAGAAATGCATGTCGACAGACATTGAGGCCTAAATCGTGGCGAGCCATTCAAAGAACATTCTTCATTAGACTTTAATATAGCTTCATTCCTCATTAATCAATCTTCTCATGAATTTAGTGCAACACAAATTTGAGAGTTCAATTTCCAGGAAAGACTACACATCAGATCATTTGATGGATAATTGCTGATATCATTCCAATATGGACAATCTAGTCGTATGTAGTTACAATCATAATGATTGTAACTACATACGACTAGATTGTCCATATTGGAATAGGAAGGCTAATTTTTATTAACCATAGCTGATGAATTATCTCTTGTCTGATCTCCTATAAGTATAGTCTCTGCTATCCCTTAATGCAAGTATCTTTTACCTGCTTGTCATTTTGATTTCGTCACAAGTAAGATCCCTTATGAACCATATGTCTCTTTCTGGTTTATTGACAGGAAATCTCTGCTATGTTCAGTTACATTCATATTCATATCATATACACAGAACAGCACAGGTAAGATCCCTTGTGTTAATTGGTCTTTGGCACTATCAACCTCAAAGCTTTGTATCTGAGACCAACATATAATTATCCGCTCAGAAAATACCACTTACATGCTGAAATAATGCATCCATACATGCTTTTAAGAAAGAGTTTCGCATGGATTTTCCCATTCTCGGACATAATGGTACTTAAATTTAATAGCAAAACACCAGAAAATGTGGAGGATAGTGTGTACGTAGATTTTACCCCTACCCTGGGGTAGAGAGGTTGTTTCCGATAGACCCTCGGCATCCCTCCCTCCAAGAACTCTCCACCTTGCTCTTGGGGTAATTAATATGAGTATAAGTTAGTCATATAGATATCATACAGCCGGTAAATGTGCATCCCACAAAGAAAAATCATTAAAAGACATTAGTATATGAACACACATTACTTTATTTGTGGAACAATTGTTACTTACAGGGGCAGCGGATTTAGAGGGTGGAAGGGTGTTCACCCGAACCCCTTCGCCGAAAAAGTACACAGCATATGTAAGGTAAAATCTGTTTTTTACCTCTATATATTATGTTTTGAATCCCCTTGACACAACCTAAAAGCATAGTTTAGTGGTCAAGGGAGTTCAAAACCTTTGTAAGGTCATTGGTTCTATTCCCACCAGCTACAACCAACCCTTTTAGCTTTTTCCTTTTTTTGAACCTCCTTAACGGTAATCTAGCATCCGCCACTAGTTACTTAGATCTTGTCTTCAAATGCAAGTTCTCTTAAGTTAAGAGAGCATTTAAGATTTTGCAACTTTAATTTAAAGTTTTGGACATTTCGACCATGTCAAGTTGTCTTTCCTTATTTGATTTCTTTGGTTAGTTGAATATTTGTCCCAAGGATGACAAGATATTGTGGAACAGATATATATATATATATAAGCAAATGATTTTTTTATGTAAAGAAAAATATTATTAATCTCTCAACCAACCAATTATACATTTTCTTTAAAGCTGTACAGACTAGAAGTAAATTGCTTCTGGCCGCAAAATTTCTCTATCTATCATCCCTCTATGTTATGCTAAAAAACAATTCCTCTATCCATTTCCTTCTATCTTTCTCCTCTTTCCTAGTACTTTGCATGTTCAATCTAATATTACATTCCTGTTGAATCTGCCTACAGATCACCTTTGGGTGTGTTACTTTGTTGTTCCATATATAACCAAATGTTATATACTATGTAAGCTAGTGATAATATCAAGTGCTCGCCAATTAGTTAAAGAAACATTAATACTCGTACAATAGTAAAAACTCTGAAGTCATAAAAACAAATTTACATAACTACTTACTTTTTAACCTATATAGTACTATACTTTCTTTGCCAACTCGGATCGACAATAGGGACAAGACCGATTTCTTAAAAGCCATTCTAGAATACAAAATTCATGGTAAACATGGCAACAATGAGTGAGGCAAGAAACGATAGAACCTGCCGAAAATTCTTCTCTGCAAATAGAACACATGTCCAAGAAATTAGAATGGTTAGATGCACCAACTTCAAATATCACCTTCTTGATACCTACTTCCTTGTGCAAATCTAGAATAGCAACAATCCGTGAATCCAACTCTCTTTGAGTCCTTATCCACATGTCAAAATTATAGGATATTCCCACCTTGTTAACCATCTCTGTGAATTCCACATCGGGGAGATAAGCAACCTTGCTAAACTCCAAAGTCATCAACCATTCTTTATCAGGAGGCAAAGATGGACAATCCTTCATGCTCCTAGCAAACTCCAATATCGTTGAAATCAATGTGTCCCGATTCTCCAATATGACAGCGGGCTCAACATACCTTAAACCTCTCCACTTTACAGGTCTCCACGTTAACCTGTAATCTAAAGAGAAAGGAACATTTATCAAAAATAATATTTTTGATACAATATCCCTAGAGAAGATATCATCGTGAGGAATCCAAAAGGTTTTCTGAGTTTGGTGATGTACGATGCAATCAGGAGTTAATAATGATGAGGGACGATGCTCTACGAGAATTTCAACTTTAGTGGAAAACCAACTGTGTCAAAGCTTTGGTTGATATCGAACCTAGAAAGATTTTTCCTTTTAAGCTTTGTCCCGTTTGACTGTGTACCCGTAACATACAGGTGTGAACCTTCCTTAAACCACCAACTTCGTCCTTGCGCTAACATTTCAGCAGCAGGCATTGGCTATACTTTGTAGGCAAATTGGGCTGTGGGGGTTCGCGTTTTGAATTGGATGGGAGTGGTAGGTTTGCTTTATAATGAATACTAAACTATAATCCTATCAGGATTAGGACTTGAATCTAAAAGAGAACGGATTAGCAAACCATAACCTATCAGGATTGGGACTTGAATCTAAAAGAAATAGACTAGCAAACCATAACCTATCAGGATTGGGTCTTGAGTCCAGAAACGAATTGGATTTTTTCTTTTCAATCTAATATTACACGAATACCAATTATGGATGTTTCAGTCATAAATGGCACTTCACGACTTAAAACTAAAAATCTAAAATACTTACTAGTATTATTAATAAGCGGAATTTGTCGTCCTCCCATGGATAAGATTGGAACTAACTTGTGTGCTTCTCGGAACTACGAGATTCTGTACCTTTATTTTGGCAAAAACGGCCTACCTGTGACTTAAATCCCTTCAACACGTGTGCTACAAATGTTTTCAAAGGTTCCTTTTACCCTGACCGTTATTAAGACAGGTTATTACTTTGAGCTTTAATTAATGAGCCCTAGATTATAGTGACGGCCTTGTTGATAAGATTATAGTGTCAGCTTTTCAAAGTCTCATTTTTACCCTAATTTGCAATCATGTGGACTAAAATAAATTAGAAGACAAATTTAAATTACAGAATTTATGTAATAACCAATAAAAAAAGGTAGACATTACTTTGCAATGGAAAGGAACATATTTTTATAATAATCAAGTAACGTGATATCTTATTTACTTGTTTACCCTAAAATCCGAGTAACAATTAAACTTATATTGTGATTTTAAGGATATATGATTTAATCCAATACCAATTGATAAACAAGGAATTAAATATATAAATTGAAGAATAAAATAAGTCAAACCGGTGTGAAAGCCAAATCTCGACCTCGAATTATGATAGTCTCGAGGTGGAATAGTGGGAATAGCGAGTCATAAAACAACTCTGTCGAACAGTAATAGCTAGAGAGTTAAGTGCATGTATTTCTTATCTGTCAAAAACGTGTCTTACAAATGAATGGGTTCCCCTTTACATAATAGGGGGTCCTAAATAAGATACACTTCTAATTACAGTAGGAAATCATGATTGACAGCCGTCTAACCGCCAAGGGTCGATCCATTCCGCAATTTACGCTGTGATCTTCGGGCCGTAGCGGGTATCTCGCTCTTTCTGTTACTGAATCATAATGGTAGTATCTCGAGGCTTGCCTTCTTCCAACCTCGGCAAATAATTTCGACCTCGACCTTGATATTGGAAAGGAGCCTCGACCCCGAGCTCGGCGTCCTGTCCTCTCAACGTTGTATCACCTTTTTTCATCAAAGAACGAAATCGGGTAGCCCCGATTTCTATCGTATACAGATAGTCCCCTCGTTTCTTAGAATAAAATGATAAGAACGACTTGAACCTTGATTTTTCGGAGGCCTTGATGATGACATCATCATCGTGACGTAAGCGCTTGAGGTGATTAAAATGTCCCGTCGGTTTGTTTTCCCAAAATATTAAATGATTGCCAGTGGCGATCGGCCACTAGCGTCGCCGAACCATCACCGTGTGCCTATAAATACATGGCTTCTATCTGAATCAAAAACTTTGCTTCCACCTTCAAATTTTCTTGATCTCTTCCTCTCTTCATCTTTCTCTTTCACTACCTGTTGATCCAACCCTTTTAGCACCAAAAAATATCAAACTCCACCTCTTTTCGCTTCATCCAACTTGAATTAATGGCGAAAACCTCTAAAACCGTTCCTCAAAAGAAGAAAGCTTCCTCCTCTTCTAAAGCCGGCCGATGATAAAGTGTTGACCCTTCATGAGATTGTTTCTGGCCCCTTTGTCACAACGAAGGACTTCGAAGTCGAGAATCCCCGTCGATCCCTGGCCGATGTGAGCATGTATCGAGATATATCTGCTCGAAAATGGAGAAACACCTCGAGGCCATGAAGAGAGATTATGGCTGGGGGGACGAGGTCGTGGTACAGATCCCTGCTCCCGAGGAGAGTATCACCACTTATGTGGAAGGGTCCCTAAGTGTCTATACTTACCCCTTCACATTGGGTCCCCTTGATCCAGTTGTCCTTGATTTTTGCAAGAGGTACCAGGTTACCCATGGCTAGATCCACCATTCTTTCTCGCGCATAGTGATCATGCTCCATTTCTTTTCCTGCAAGGCTGGGGACTGGAGTTGACCCTCAACCATCTCATTCGATTATATCGACCTCACCTTTTCCGATGGTTGATGAAGCTCCAACGCCGGTCGACCAAGGCCTTTTTTTCTAGCAACGATGAGGATAAAGATCGGGGTTGGATGAGTAGGTTCATGCGAATGAGGACCTGCGACATCATCCTAGAGGAAAAAATGTCGTTCCCAAAGAAGTGGAACCCAAAATGTAACTGAAGTTTTTACCCATTAACCTTCGTACTCCATTTTTGCATTATGTGATGCCTTCATCTATTTCGCAGGGTCGCTTGGATGCCTCATGCGGTCACCAAACTCGAAAACTGGGTCCGGAGGCTAGCCTCGACATACTCTTATAACGAGCGCCATTAGCGTGACTTGGAGAAGGGCATATGGGAAGGCAAACATCATGTAAGTTCATCTTGTAAGCTTTCGATGCTTTCCTCTTTATCGAAGATGTCTTTTTACTCATATTTGATTTTCCTCCATGCAGGCATTAGATATTTCTCTGTAATAAGGCCAGCCCCGCCTGGGGAAGAGACCGAGTCCCCAATTCTAAAATCGGGGAAAGACAATGAGAGGAAAAGTGTCTTGAAGCCCAAAGACCCCCAAGATAAAAAGGCTCCAGCTTGAAGACGCAGGAGAAATTTCATTCCTGTGGATATAGAATCGGTCCACCAGCTGGTTGAAGAAGAAGAAGACGAGGGTGAAGACTCGGTGCTGGTGGATCGAGCCAGGAAGTCGGTTGAAGCTGCCAAGCCCTCCGAGCCGGAGACCTTGCTTCTTTATGAGGAGGCTTCAAAGAAAGATGCGGGCAAAACCCCTAAATCGCCCGAGGTCGAGATTGCTCCTCGGTCATCAACAAGCACACTGGAAGAGGCAGGTTCCGAGACCCCCAGGGCTCAATAGAGCGTCCCGACTGATTTGCTCGGGGCCATGACAATAGGTCACTCTTCCTCTCTGTCGGCTTATTCTGAGGAGGCCATAAGGGAGGCTCGAGCTCTGCAGATGCCTAACTCAGGTGAAGTTCCCAGTGAAGAGGATCCCTTCTGGGATTGCTTTACCGGGGTTGATGACGCCGCCAATCTTAACAATGCCTCTACCTTTTTCGAAGAGGCTAAACGCCTTTTATCTCAATTAAGCATTAATTCCTATCGTTGAATTTTTTTTCCTTCTTCTCCCTTTACCCTAACTTGTATCTTTCTTTCTGTGTAGGCTTTCACTAAGTTTAGGGCTGACCTGAGCCAATGTGAGGCCAAGCTCCAGAAGACCTCGGAGGAGAGGAACACTTTGAAGCTCCTTTGCAGTCAGAAGGAGGTTGGTTGTTATATATTGTTGTCGCATTAAATTACTTAACTATGATAAGTTGATATGATTTGATAAAACACTAGATGGTCGTAAGTTTTTTAGGAGTTTATTCTATTTGTTCTTATACCCCCTCAGTAAAAATTTACCATCACTCGGATTTAGACCAAATTAATAAATACAAAATAATGAACGGGACTATAAGAAAGGGGGGACACATTCCCTCAGAAGTTAACAAAACATATTTATGTCTAATACCTAAAACACAACAACCTACTTTAATCACTCAATACCGATCAATTAGTCTTTGTAATATCCCTTACAAATTAATTACAAAAATAATAGTCAAACGCATCAAACCCTTCCTAATCAATATTATTAGTCCTGAGCAATCAACTTTCTTACCCCATCGATGAGCCACTGATAATGACATTATAGTACAAGAGATTATGCACCACTTTAGGGGGAAAAAAGGAGACAAGGCATCCTTTGTACGGAAATTAGACTTAGAAAAAGCCTTTGATAAGCTTGAATGGGGCTTTATACATGACACACTTCACTACTTTCAATTCTCACCTAAGTTTATAAAGCTAATAATGTCTTGCATAACCACATATTCAATGTCCATTTTAATTAATGGCCAACCAACTCCTTTTTTCTCACCTTCAAGAGGCATTCGTCAAGGAGATCCGCTATCTCCTCACATTTTCATACTCTGCATGGAAATGCTATCTTAGAAAATTCATATTGATGTAGATTACCTTAAGTGGCACCCTATACAATTATCTAAACATGGTTCACCACTATCTCATCTATTCTTCGCTGATGATATTACTATAAATAAATTGACCAATAAGAGCATCAACTCCATTATTGACACACTAAACCTATTTACTAGAGTGTTAGGGTTAACTATTAATTACACAAAATCAAAAATATTCTTCTCCAACAACACATCCAAGGAAGCCAGATAAAGTGTGACCACTGTTTTCCATATGAATGAGAGCTCAACTTTTGGCAAATATCTTGGATACCCCTATTTTCAACATAAAACCCAATACATCCAATTTTCAGTTCCTAATCGATAATTTTAAAAACAAATTAGCAGGGTGGAAAATAAATTTCCTAACAATGGCAGGACGAACTACTCTGATCAAAGCTACTCTTAATTGTTTGCCTAATCATGTTATGCAACTAATCAAAATACCTCATAATGTCATTAACAAACTAGAAAGATATCAACGAAATTTTCTATGGGGTACCATACCATAGAAACTCAAGTTACATCTTATTAAATGGGTAACAGTCCAATTAACTAAGGAAAATGGTGGGTTATGTATAGATAACCTCAAAGATAAAAATGATGCATTATTGTGATCCCTAGCTTGGAGACTGTTTCAGTCTCCTTCCTCACACTAGGCTAGAATAATCCTTTCAAAATACTTAAAGATTACTACCTCCAAAACTGTATCCTCCAATTGGAAAACTATCACTCATGGGCGGTCTTCAAGTCAACTTGGCATCAAATGGCACACCACTAATGGAAGACATATAAGCTTCTGGGATGATCCCTGGTTAGACACTAATTTAATTCTAAGAAAAATTATTGAAGGTCCCTTACCCCAAAATGATTAATCTTCATCACTATCTCTATATATAATGGGAAATTCCATAAGGGTCCAAAAAATACCCTTTGATCTACCAACCACTATAATGGATTTAATTGCTAATCACTATATACCTACCACCATAAACCCTAATATGCATGACCACATCTACTGGGGTCTCATCCCCGGTGGAATCTTCACGGTCAAATCTCTATATCAAATATTACATTCCTACGTACAAAACAACTCCTTCAAATGGCTATGGAAACTCCAATTACCCCAAAAAATAAAATATTTCCTATGGCTTA